TTTAGTGCCTTTGGGGACGGCGGGAGTGGAGGCAGCAGGTGTGGGGGCGGCAGGCGTGGGGGCGGCAGGCGTGGGGGAAGCGGCCGCAGGGGCGGCAGAGAGTTCAGCGAGGCGGGCACGGAGCTCAGCGTTTTCACGCTCGGCGGCCTGGTACTTACTCGTCATTTCGGCTAGCTGTTCCTCGAGCGCAGCGAACCGGGCGATGGTAGTGTCATGCTCAGTGACCCTTGCGGATAACTGAGCAAGTTGGGCGAGGATGACAGGGATGTCGGGAATGTTGGAAATTGACATTTCGGACATGGCGAATTTCGAAATGACAAAAAATGCAGAATTCGATGGAAAAGTAACAAAAACTGAAAATGGCTGAAAGTGAAATATGTTATAAAGCTAAATGAAAGCGTTTATAATATATTTAGATGGACGCGATCGGATGACTAGTTCTCGAGATATTCGCGCTTAAAGTTGAAAAAAACGGAAAATGTCGAGAAATCGCGGTTCGAGATCGTAACAAATAGTTGTCGGTTTGAGCTGAAAGTTGGTATTCTGAAAGAGCTAAGGGAGGGCTTTCCAATGATACGGGTTTCGTAGATGGATGGCTGTTTGCTGTAGAGTTATTGAGCTGCAAAGATCGGCGTTCGTAACTTTTTTTATTTTTCTGGGTTTGAATTCAGAAAAAATTGGGGATGTAGCTCAGGCGAAAGTTTTTGTTTTTATTAGATTAAGTGCATTCGACCTATGGGCCATTATTGCAATCTAAGGGAACTCAAGAAGGGAAAAGCGTGCTATTACTAAGGGGGGAGGGGGGAAGGGAGGTAAATAATCATTAATTCTGGTAGGCGAAGACTTTGGGCGAGATGGGAGACATGCTTCTTTCAACCTGGGATTGGTACCGCAGGATTTCATTTCTTAGACACCAGCCAACACCACACCGAGAACCAGAGAAGAGCCGCGTTAAAACCTTCGGGGAAGGGAGACAGAGAGAAAGGGGCATCCACCGTATTCTGGGGGACACGAACAGGAACACGGGGCACAAGCCGGCCAGACGAGCCGCAGCGCAGAAAAGACGATGGTTTATTAGCCCCAAGGGGGCGCAAAGACAAATATATAAATTAATTAAATAAATGAGGATGCGGGCGGGAATCGATCCAGGGTCGACAAGGGAGACAAAAGAAATGGCGCAATTTTATACCATTACGCCATGGGCATATAGCCCGGGGATGTAGCTCAGGCGAAAGATTATTTGTTTATTGAGATTATTATGCACGCGATCCATTGATCATTATTTGCTAATCTGGGGGACAAAAAGATGATTATCGTAAAAAAGGGAGTTGAAACTAAAAAAAAACTTAAAGATGCCAAAAAAGTAAAAAAAGAGAAGGGAAGAGAGAAGGGCGAGCAATAGAATACTAAGTTAGATTTCATGACCATGGTCTCCCTCGCATCGTGCACTAATAGGTTGTGGCAGTGGAGGGTCGAAGCCAGAGGGTGCAATTCATCAACAGTTCATCATTGAGGAGGAGGCAGAGGGGGAGGAGAAGACTTGTCAGACCAAAATCGACCAGGGTCAGGATCCGTAGAGTAATCCCCTTCGGGATTACACAACTTGTCAAAGTGCCAGAGAATTGAGCAGAGATCCACCCAAAACTCAGGACAAGCGGCAGAAGAAGAAAGAGGGAGCTGACAAAGAGCGTAATCAATACGATTACCTCGAAAGACAGATGGCACAGAGGGGAGAGACAACCACAAGTGGGAAGGCACAAGATGGCACTCGATGAGGTGGCGGCGAGAAGTGTGATCCAAGGCACAGGGGCATGGCTTTGGTTTTCCAGGGAGCCAGCCCATCCTCCAGCGAACTAGACGGCTACGATCGGCCCGAGAAGCAGGCAAGTACATCACGGGATCCACCCCAAGAGAGGTGCGGCAGGCACGAATCAGGACTTTATCTGTTTTGGACAGATAATCATCGAATTGCTGCTGTCGGTAGCGACGCAACCAGGAAGACATAGGGTTACCACGTTCCCCAAGAGAGGCAGGCATATCGGACGCAAGGCGTCGGCCACGAAGAGACGTCAAGGCAGAAGAAGGCAGAGAAGAAGAGAGCAGAGACAGCAGACAGTCTGAGGGCAGAACCCGGGCACGTAGGCAGAACTTGGCCACAAGAGTGTCCGCACGGAAGCGCATTGATGGCAGGTTAGCCAGGTGACAGAAGACGGAGGTCGAAGAAGTACCATGACCACCGAAGATCATTCGGAGGCAGCGGTTCTGGACCTTTTCCAAGGCAGTGTAGTCCACACCACGAAGCTGAGCAATGGCTAGGCCATATTCCAACTTTGGCCGAACAAAGGTAGCATAGAGCCGAGCAGAGAACAGAAGAGAAAAGCCGGAACGGTTAGCACCAAGGGCATTGAGCTGCGAGATTTGAAGCATTGTACCAGGCTTGCGCGTAGTGACAATGCTGGCAGGAGAGATACCAGACCGCCGAAACGGGACACCCAAGTAGAGAAACTCTTCAACAACAGGAAGAGGTACACCATAAAGCGACAGAGTCACCGAGGTAGAGGAGGTAGCAGAAGGTGGGTTGAGAACCGCACACTTCGGAGGAGACCATTTGTAGCCTAAGGCAGAGGAGTGGGACTCAGCCAGAGAGAGCATTGCTTGAACTTCACGAGCTGTACCGATGATCGCCACATCATCCGCATACAGCAAAGAGTTGATAGGCGTTGGTGAAGGGGCCGTAGGAGTTGTCACAGGAGACCAGAGAGGGGAGGGTGCCGTGGAGAGGGAGGTAGACATCACTCTTGTTGTCCGGGAAGAAGCAGCAGTCCGAAGCAGAGGAGCCAAAGTGTTGATATAAACTGAGTACAGGTGGGGACTGAGAACAGAACCTTGGAGAACACCTGTACTAGGAGCAAAGGATCGGGACACATTGTTTGACAACAACACGGAGACTTGAACATTGTCAAACATGTTGGCCAGAAGAGAGACAAGAGACAGAGGAGCCGAAGCAGCCAACAGGGAGTTCCACACCACACGGCGGTCGACAGTATCATAGGCAGCCTTGATATCCAGGAAGGCTACGACGGGAAAATGATGATGCACACGATGATATTCCTTCATCAAGTCGTGCAGGCAGAGAGCTTGATCCAGAGCACTTCGTTGGGGTCGGAATCCACCTTGGGCCACATCAAGGGGAGGAGAAGCAGAGATCACCACCGGGGAGAGACAGATCTCAAAGAGCTTTCGAATGATCGAAGTCAACGAGATGGGCCGAAAGTTGCCAGGATCAGATACATTACCCTTTTTGTGAATGGGAACGACGTGAGCTTGACGCCAAAGAAGAGGAGTAGAAGCCCAGTGAAAGCAGAGAGTAAACAGCTTTGACAGTAGAAGGGAGAGAGGCCGAGCAAGAGGGAGAAGCATCTCAGCACGTAGATGGTCGGGACCAGGGGCCTTTCGACGGGGAAGCAGTTTTAACGCTGATTCGACTGACGTAGGGGAGAGGGCAGAAGCAACATTGGCAGGCAGTTCGAACGGAAGGGAAGAACTAATCACAGGAAGAGGAGGAGGACGAGGAGAGGGAAGGCCAGTGCCAGCATAAATGGCCGCCAGGTGAGCGCTCATCACATCGGCACCTACAGCAGGACCGCTGGGATGAACAAAGGCAGAGGAACGGGAACGGCGGGACTTCAGCCGCTTGACCTTTTTCAAGGCCGAAGGCATATCGGCGGCTTCCAAAGCATCACAGAACGCACGCCAGGAGAGTCGCTTCGCTAACCGGAGGTCTTGTTTGAATTTCGCATGGGCTTGAACATGCTGATTCCACCAATAGACCTTTTCCATACCAGAAGAGTGTCGCCACTTACGGTAGAACCGTTCGCGAAGGTCGGCTGCTGCTTGTAGGGCTGGAGTCCAGAAGTGTTTCCAGTGAGAAGGACGAGGAAGTCGGGTGCCAACCGAGGAGTCCAACGCCGTATAGATAGCCTCATTAAGAGAGCTATTCAAGCCATCCATGTCGGGAGGAGAAGAGGAGGACGACGGACCATCCAAGAGGAGCTGAGCGAGGCGGTCATCAAGAGAAGATGTCAGCGATCGGAAACGGCTGATATACAACTCGCGGGTGTCGGCTTCTTCGAGACGAGAGAGATGCCATAAAAGACGAGGAGCAGGGGAAGAACGAGGAGGAACAGTGGATGGAATAGGATGATCAACAGGGACGGAGAGATGGAAAGAGAGAGACATCAGTTTGTGATCAGAGCCTAAAGAGAGGTCAGAACGAATCGTAATGGAAGGCGAGGAGAGGGCAGAAGGAACGTTGGTAATAAAGTAGTCGACGATACTAGACACTGGTTGACCACGACGAAAAGAAACAAAAGTGGGGACACCATGGGAGAGAGAAGCATTCAGGATGGACAACGAATGTTCTTCACACCATTGCTGCAACAAGTTGCCACGAGTGTTGGAGCCAGAGTCACCAGTGAAATCGCCAAGACGCGCATTCAGATCGCCACAAATGATGGTGTCTTGAGAAAGGGGAAGGGAGTCGAGAACGGATACAATCTCCTCGGAGGAGAGAGAAGGTGGAAGGTACAGACAGATGAGTCGAAGGGAGGATCCTAGATGGAGACAGAGAGCATACCTGGTAGGGGAAGGAACTTGAAACACAGGCAGCGGACACGAAGGAGAGACAAGGGCAGAGACACCCATGGAACCACGGAAGTTGCCAGCAACCGGAGAGCCATAGAGGTGAAACTGTTCCCAGGAGGTAGGGAGGCGAGAAGGGGAGAGCAACCAGGTTTCAGTAATGAAAAGGAGGGAAGTATCCTGGCAGTGACGGAGGATGTCATCGACGGAGGAAGCTTGGAGACCATTGGCATTCCAGAGACCAATGTTGAGGGAGAGAGAATGGGTGGTAGACGAAGAGGGAGAGGATGGGGTATCAAAGGAAGGTATAGAGGACACATCAGAAGATGTGTTATTAATGGTGATACGATGATCACACATTAATATTCCATGCTTGAATCGGTGTCGTCGTTATCGGATTCAAAGTCTCCGGAGCCGAAGACCGTGTTTCGGGAATACTTTGGGCGTTCAAAAAGCTTGGGACGGGTAGCGGCAATGACGCGGGCAAGGTCTTCCTCAGTTATCCAAGCCTGTTCGGCAAAAACCTTGGCGACGGCGACGGCAGCATCTTTGTGATGGTCAATCACAAAATTCAAGGCGTGGAGGCAACGGCGGGAATGGAAGCGCATGGCAGCAACTTCCCGGTCAGCGACACTGGCGGTAACAAAGCGAGGATCACCCAAGTGTGCAGGGTCCAAAGGATCAAAATCGGCCACAGTTTGAACCTTTGCTCGTTCAAGGGATTCTAGGAACGACGCCTTGAATTGGACGTGGATCAGGAGGCCAATGATACCACGGGCAGGGAAAGCAACATCAAGAATGCGAGCGGCATCGATTCCAAGAACGCGCAAGTTTCGGCGGACCTCCATTCTGGTATAGCGACGGGAACGATGAATATACACATATTCATAACCTTGTTCGCCGGTATCAAGGTTGAAGCCGCGGACAATGGCTTCACGGCGCTTGGCAGTGACGGGTTTCTTGGCTTTACCCCTCTTGGCAACCGTGCTCCAAACTTCAGTTGGGGCAACGGTGGGGGCAGCGGTGGCAGCGGGCTCAGCGGCGGAAGGGGCTTGGCGGGCGGGGGCAGGCCTAGAGGCGGTAGGGGCGGTAGGGGCGGCGGGGCGGGCGGAAACCGTTGGCTGGGCAGCGGCGGCAAGGGCTTCAGCCAGGCGGGCACGGAGATCAGCGTTCTCCTGCTGAAGAGTCTTGTTTTCAGCAGTGACGGCAGCTAGCCGTTCTTCAAGAGCGGCAAAGCGAAGGAGAGTCTGGTCATGTTCGGCGACCTTGTTAGCTAGCAGGGCGAGCTGATTTTGGAAATTAGTCATTTCGAGATCTTGGCTCATTGGAAATGGCGAAATGTCGAAATGTCGATGATGGCGATGGGAAAGTTAACGATTTCGAATCGGCTGAAATTAAAATATGTTGTTGTCGGAAAAAAGGGCTGAAACAATTAAAAAGGATGAACGCGATCGGATTACTGGTTGTCGAGATATTACGCGTCAAAGTGCAAAAATTGGGGATGTAGCTCAGGTTAAAGATTTTTTTTTTAGTTATTTAACGTCGAACAATGGGCACTCTATAGAGCATAAGCCGATCGACCAGAGACAAAGGGGAGAAAAAGCCTACTAATTTTATGTTGGGGGGAAGGGGGAATGCTATACTAATCATTATACTAGTTGGTCAAGACTTGAGGGGGAGACAGAAACTGCTTGTTACGCCTGGGCGGGCACCGAGAAGCATTCATCATTGGGATAGCAGACCCCGCGACCGAGGACCAAGGAAAAGCAGCGGCGTTAAAAACCCCAGGCGGGGGATGGTTGCACGGAACGCAGGGCAGGGACAACGAACAGGAACACGGGGCAGAAGCCGGCCAGACGAGCCGCAGACACCAAGGCGGCCGAAAGCAAACCAACAGAGACGAAAAAGAAGGCGGAGACCGGGAATCGAACCACGACCAGACGCATGGTAACCTAATGTTCTACGACTAGGCTATGGGGACAAGCCCCGGGGATGTAGCTCAAATGGTAGAGCGCTCGCTTAGCATGCGAGAGGCACTGGGATCGACGCCCAGCTTCTCCAATTTTTTTTCTTTTTTTTACTTTCGTTTCTAGTGCGTGAGACGTTTCGACTGTCACCACTTTCCGGATTATTGTATATTGTTGTCAAACCTATTGAATTGGGGTTTCACCCCTCCAAAATAAAAAAAAATAAAAAAAAAAAAAAATAAAAATAAAACATATAAAGATGAAAAATTTTCTATCTTTTAAAGGATGATGTGTTGGGCTGAGTAGAGCGGGTTTAGCCGGTGTCATATAGACTGTTTCATCAAAGACACGGGTACCTTCTTTATGGTTGCGCGCAGGTACTTACTCATTGAGAGGTTAGTGGATCGGACTGGAAGCAATTGGCGACGAATATAAAAATAGAATGATAAGACCACTTACCAATGTCCGCTTACTGACAGATTATTGTGAAAGAGTGATTTATTATTGAAGTACTATATACTATGGATATGTAAACCTCATATGTACATAGCATTTGTAGATCACAATTACAGTAATATCTGATATATCCAGTTACTTCGAAAGACTTATAAAAATAAAATAAGACAGTAAAATGACTAGACACAACAAAGATACTGAGATATTCTTAAGTATTTGATAGACCAAGATAGAACGAGACCGAAAAAGTCAGATAATTTTTATTTCAATTTTGAGAACATGAAGGCTTTATATATTTTTCAGAGAGTTAGCTGAGCTTATAGAGGATGTTAGGAAGATGTAGTTACAACCAATGAGAACTAATGGATCTAATGAGAGATTAGTGAAGGCGTGTTCTAACACTGTTATGGATCTGATACCAGTTTGACTTGTGAACAATTGCTTAATCGACAATTCAAGTCTAAGATGACAGCTGTTTATGCTGTGTTTAAATTAATTAATTCTCACTCGTGTTCCGATACCGTAGACAGTGGTCGAGACATGACACTCATATATACAACACATCATTTTAAATGAATCTATCAATAGTAATATTTTATATTTGAGTTATCTTTATCATTCTGTATATGTTGTATATTGAGGCATAAGTCCGTATATAGATATTGACAGAGACAAATAAATCCTGCAATACTTGCTATGTGACTATCCCATAATATGACATTAGTCTCTTCTGGTACTTAATCATTCACTGTTGAGATTACATATGGATAAATGATATATTCTTTATTGTCTGTGCATTATGAGATAATATTATTATAATAATAGAGTCCAATGCTACAGCATGTTCCATACATATTTTTATCCTAAGCCAGATAATATTAAGATAGATCCAATGGACATAATAGACTGAGGTATTCATAATATGAATGGCGCAGCAGAGACCTGAAGGTCGGATAAAAGATCTCTGGCTCAGCAACACCACTTGTATCAGGTATAGACCCAGACATTATCCAGAAAGATCATGTCTATTCCAGCAATTTCCATATTCTCTTAACATATCTATATCCGCCTATGAATATCCAATTGTATTCTTCCACATAGTCGTATCAACTGATATCAATGATATGGATGATTAAACATGTCTCATGTTACTGTTCTGATTTCCTAGAAATTTCCAAGCAAGCAATTCTAGAACTCCGCAAGGCATATCTCATTCTCAGATCAAGTTCCTGAAAAGTATAAATATGATCCCAAGTTGAAGTGTAGAAAGAGACTAGTCTTTGTCTTATCTTTATCTTTTGTCTTAATCGACTCTTAATAAACCTACCACGAGTTTTCACAGACTTTCTCTTTGTCTTTCTATTCTTTTACTATTATATTTTACCCATACACAACAGTATATCAATTTTTAAAAAGATCGAAGTTGCTGTAAAGCATGATTAAATCAAATAAAATGGTTTGAAGAGGTTTACTGTAAGAGTACGTACAGTTGTATTTGCATATTTTAAAAGTTGATAACTGTTGTAAGTCGATGACTATGAACTTAGATGTCTTTATTGTTCTTCAGATGAAGTAGAAGGCTTATTTACTTTTTGAGGTTTAATGCGAATTATATTATTTGAGGACGCGTATGCTAGTCACTAATTTCAGGTTCAGCTGCTTATTGGGTGATTATTATATTTAGGCCTGTATCTTGTTCTATGTTGTACATAACCTATATTAGATGCAATATAGATAGACCGTGGTAGAATGTATTCTCTACCTGGTTGTACGTACTTGAATATTGTAGTTATTATTTGACCAAACACGGCAACATGAAATAATATAAAGGTCAAGCTTTTCTTTCATCTCTCTAAAAATCAGGATCCTAATACTGAGATAGAAAATAAGTAAAATAAATAAGAAGCTATCCTCTTAGACGCGACACAACAGTAGTGAAAATTAAAAAGCAAAAAATGCGTGGTCGGGGAATCGAACCCCGGCCCTTCGCGTGGCAGGCGAAGATTATACCACTTAACCAACCACGCAAGGTTAAGATTGTCGCCCGCGCGAAACGTTTTGCCTTTATATACTTTTCAAACCAAATTCTAAATAGCACGTGATCCACCGAATTCCCATACACTTTGTACACTTACTGCATTTGAAGGCAGGTTTAAATATAAACTTTGTCGACCTAATATAGTAAATCTTACAAGAAAAATCCAATAACAACAAAAAGTAAATACAAAAAAGAGAAAAAGAACATACAGTGACTCACAAAAGTGTTACAATGTTTTTAAAAATTTTAATTTTTCGACTTTTTCATGCATTCTTCCCCTTGAGCACATACTTAAGCACTGATTTTTTTTTTTTGCGATACGGAAAGTAGTAGTTCTAAGCTATTCAGTGATATAGCTTGTGTTAGGATTCATATACATTTGCTTGGGCACATTCGACATTCTAATCGCTCATCTCGACATTCGCAATCTGTAGAAATTCAGATGGTTGAAATGATGAATGTTTACAGAGCCTTCTTTCCCCAGGATTTTTCGAATTTATTGAGTTTCAGCAATCTATCAGGGGTCAATTTAATGTTGAGTATCATGTTTTGTCAAACTTGTACCTTTTTGCTTTTCGATTAGCTACATTACTTTACCCATTCACAAAAACCGCAACATTAGACAAATCTCAACATGCGTCCCGTACCTTACGATAAAAAAAATGATATTTTAGCTAGACTGCGTACAGGAGAGTCTCATAGAAGTATCGCCAAAAGTTTAAAGGTATCCAACGTCACTGTTGGTAGAATCGCTAAAGCTAATGACATTGCATGCAACGAAAAGACCGGCCGTCCTAGGTTAATCTCGGATCGTCTCGAGAGAATGATCGCAAGATCGTTCTACTTAGGGCAGTTCATAACAGCAGTTGATGCTGCCAGGAACCTGCGGGGTCAAGGAGTAGATATTTCTCCACAGACCATACGTAGGGTCCTGAAAAGATCCGATTTCGATTCAAGGATTAGAAAATCAGCATTGCCATTAACGAATGATCGAAGAAAGGATCGGTTGAAATGGGCGAAAGCCCACAAACACTGGACGGTTGATGATTGGAAGAAAGTCGTTTTTAGCGACGAGACCAAAATCAATCGTCTTGGATCGGATGGGAAACAGTGGACTTGGGTAAAGAAGGGAGAACCCCTCAAGGAGCACAACGTCAACTACAAGTATAAAGGCGGAGGTGGCAGCCTCATATTGTGGAGCTGCTTCACTCAACATGGTCCTGGCTTCATTGCCAAGATACAGTGCTGCTATTAACGGGCTCACAAAAATATAAAATGATCTGTACAGTGCAATAATTACGTCAGAGCTACGAAATAAAGACCACTAGATAGCCCAAACGTCATAGTATAAGAAAGGAAGAATGACGTAATCATATGTTGTTACACAAAGCTGCAAATAAAAAAAGCTTGATTTTGGGCTAAATGCAAAATGATACAAATGTGGTATTTGACGACTTGTGGAGTTAAATATCACTTAGTTAAAACAATAAAAAGTTAACGAGATCAAACTAGTACGTTTTATTTTCAATCAAGTTATGTTCCCTGAGAAGAAAAATATCTACTGCAAAAATTTGAATATCTTCTTCATATTACGGAACCTAGAAACTGACAGCTGAGTTATTCTACTCAAAGAAGACGTACGTCTTCTGAACCGTAAAAGAATAGAATTCTCCCTTGAGAGATTACGCATCTACCCGGAGCGGGTGGACTTGTAAACGTATCCATGGCTTGATCTAGTGATCATGCAACTAACCTATTTTCCCGTGCTAACCATTATGTAGCACTGCTTGCAGGAAAATAGAATTAATTAGGAAAATAGTATTCGTGCGTGGTGTTTGAGTTGAGT